TGTGTGTGTGTAATATATATGTGTGTGAGTATGTGTGTGTGAGAGCTGAGTATTTAAGTTACTTTTCTTATGTGTGTGTATATATGTGTCTGAGAGCTAAATAATTTTAGTAATATATAGATAGATATATAAATAAGCTGAGTAGTTTTTGCAATATATATATGTGTGTGTGTGTTTGTGTGTATTGTATATTACATTTTCATGTGTGTACATATGTCTGCGTGCGTATGTAAAGGACAACATACTATTAAATATATAAAACATACATATATATAGTACTAAAACCATTCTGTTCATATATATAAATATATATGCATATATATATATATATATATATATATATATATATATATATATATATATGTTATATTATTAGCATAGTACAATATCAGTATAAAACTAAGATTTTGAACATTATATATATATATATATATATATATATATATATATATATATACACACACACACACACACACACACATATTGCTAAAACTATTAAGCATATTTTTTTTCACTTTTAGTATATGTGTATATATGTAAAATGGCTACCCCAAACTCCAAATCCCGGGATTGCCAAGGACGGCGACCATGGGACCCGCCTCGGGAGAAATGACTCAAATGCTGGTTAATTCCAGGGTGCGGCTGCTCGATGCCCGCGGGAGGGCAAGGGAAACGGCCTTGGAAGACGTGGTTGCGACATCCCGGGTTTCCCCTCTTAATGGCCAAACCAAGGGGGGAAAAGAACGCCTCTCCCCTCCGGACTACAACTCCCATCATCATGGATCTTTCTCTATCTGCCTCTCTTATCTGGTGTCTATAAAATTAATGTGAAAATGGTATGTATGGATCGATGCTGAGAGTTGTAGTTCGACCCACACCCAGAGAGCCCTGAGACTCAGAATGATGGGAGTTGTAGTTCTCCCCATACCAGAAAGAACTGTGACTCAAAATGATGGGAGTTGTAGTTAGAATGATGGGAATTATAGTTCACGCCACACCCAGAGCCCCCATAACCCAGGATGATGGGAGTAGTAGTTCACCCCACACCCAGAGCCCCCATGACCCAGGATGATGGGAGTTGTAGTTCAACCCATACCAGAAAGACCTGTGACTCAAAATGATGGGAGTTGTAGTTAGAATGATGGGAATTATAGTTCACACCACACCCAGAGCCCCCATGACCCAGGATGATGGGAGTTGTAGTTCACCCATGCCCTGAGAGCCTGTGTGACCCAAAACGATGGGAGTTGTAGTTAGAATAGTGGGAATTGAAGTTAGGATTATGGGAGTAATAGTCACTCCACACCCAAAGAACCCCTGTGACCCAAAATGATGGGAGATGTAGTTAGAATGATGGGAGTTATAGTTCACCCACATCCAGAACCCCCGTGGCCCAGGATGAAGGGCATTGTAGTACAGCCCACGCCCAGAAAGCCCTGTGAGTCAAAATGATGACGGTTGTAGTTGAAATGATAGGAGTTATAGTTCCCCTGCAACCAGAGCCTCATGACCCAGGATGATGGGAGTTGTAGTACACCCCACAGCCAGAGATCCCTGTGATCCAAAAGTGTGGGAGTTGTAGTTAGAATGATGGGAGTTGTAGATTATGGGAGCAATAGTCACCCTGCACCCAGGGAGCCCGTGTGACCCAAAATGCTGGGAGTTGTAGTTCAAATGGTGGGAGTTGTCGTTAGAGTGGTGGGAGTTGTAGTTAGGATTATGGAAGTTGTAGTTAGGATTATGAAAGCTGTAGTTAGGATTATGGGAGTAATAGTCACCCCACACCCAGGGAGCCCGCGTGATCCAAATGATGGGAGTTGTAGTTAGGATTATGGGAATAATAGTCACCCCGCACCCAGGGAGCCCGCGTGACCCAAAACGATGGGAGTTGTAGTTAGGATTATGGGAGTAATAGTCACCCTGCACCCAGGGAGCCAGTGTCACCCAAAATGCTGGGATTTGTAGTTAGAATGATGGGAATAATAGTCACCCTGCACCCAGGGAGCCTGCGTGACCCATAATGATGGGAGTTGTAGTTAGAAGGTGGGAGTTGTAGTTAGGATTATGGAAGTTGTAGTTGGGAGTACGGAAGCTGTAGTGAGGATTATGGAAGTAATAGTCACCCTGCACCCAGGAAGCCAGTGTCACCCAAAATGCTGGGAGTTGTAGTTAGAATGATGGGAGTTATAGTTCACCTGCACCCAGAGCCGCATGACCCCGGATGATGGGAGTTGTAGTAAACTCCACACCTAGTGAACCCTGTGATCCAAAACCATGGGAGTTGCAATTAGAATGATGGTGGGAGTTGTAGTTAGAATGGTGGGAGTTGTAGTTAGGATTATGGTGAGCCCTGTGATCCAAAACTATGGGAGTTGTAGTTAGAATGGTGGGAGTTGTAGTTGGGAGTATGGAAGCTGTAGTTAGGATTATGGAAGCTGTAGTTAGCATTATGGGAGTAATAGTCACCCCGCACCCAGGGAGCCTGTGTGACCCAAAATGATGGGAGTTGTAGTTGGAATGGTGGGAGTGATAGTTCACCCCATACCCAGAGAGCCTGTGACCCAGGATGATGGGGATTGGGGGGTTAGCATGGTGGGAGAGAGAGCTCACCCCACACCTAGAGATCCCTGAGGCCCAGGATGGTGGGAGTTGTAGTTGACTCCATCTAGGCTCCAAAGAATGATTCATACTCAGGGGCGCCATACCCGGGTTGGCCACCAGAGGTCAGCAGAGAGCTTGGGAAAGGGATTTTGGTTGGTGTGCAGGCTCCTGGGTGAGGATGCCTCAGGGGAGGAAATGGGGAGGAAATGGGGAGGAGGAGGAGGAGGAGGGGGTGGAGTGCCCCTGCCAGGGAACCCAGGCACCCCCACCCCACTGAGGCGTCTCTCTATGGGGAAAAGAAGGGAAACTTACCAGTGGAAAGCAGGAAGAGAGAAGTTGGCTGGAAGGGAGGAAGGGAGGCAGGCAAGTGAGCCCAGGGATGCAACCCACCCCTTGTTTATACCTAAGGGAGGGGCCTCCCCACAGGCCACGCCCCCAGGACGAGCCCTGATTGGGCGCCACGCCCTGCTCATTTGCATACCCCACAGCCACACCTTTCTTTGCTCCCTGTTCACTTTCCCCCAGATTGCAAAAGTTTTCCCCAGGGTGGGAAGGAAACCGGATTGGCTGCTTTACTACAGTTTAGGAAACTTTCCTCCATGTTTTCAAGACAGAACCCATTAGGAAATTATATATACATTCCCACTTTCTGGTCTTTCTATAAAGCGTCCCGGCTGCCTCTCCTTCCCTCCCTCCTTCGTGCTCAGCTTTCTTCGCTTGCTGCAAATGGTGTTTTGAAGGAAATAAGAAGGACTGGAAAGCTGAGCACGAAGGAGGGAGGGAAGGAGGGTAACCGGGACACTTTAAAGGGTGTTTTGAAGGAAATATATTATACACGATTCCTTCCCACTTTCTGGTCTTTCTATAAAGCGTCCCGGTTACCTCTCCTTCCCTCCCTCCTTCGTGCTCAGCTTCCTTCCCTTGCTGCAAAGGGTGTTTTGAAGGAAATATATTATACATGATTCCTTCCCACTTTCCGGTCCTTCTTTAAAGCGTCCCGGTTACCCTCCTTCCCTCCCTCCTTCGTGCTCAGCTTTCTTCGCTTGCTGCAAAGGTGTTTTGAAGGAAATAAGAAGGACTGGAAAGCTGAGCACGAAGGAGGGAGGGAAGGAGGGTAACCGGGACACTTTAAAGGGTGTTTTGAAGGAAATATATTATACACGATTCCTTCCCACTTTCTGGTCTTTCTATAAAGCGTCCCGGTTACCTCTCCTTCCCTCCCTCCTTCGTGCTCAGCTTCCTTCCCTTGCTGCAAAGGGTGTTTTGAAGGAAATATATTATACATGATTCCTTCCCACTTTCCGGTCCTTCTTTAAAGCGTCCCGGTTACCCTCCTTCCCTCCCTCCTTCGTGCTCAGCTTTCTTCGCTTGCTGCAAAGGGTGTTTTGAAGGAAATATACGTGATTCCTTCCCACTTTCCGGTCCTTCTTTAAAGCGTCCCGGTTACCCTCCTTCCCTCCCTCCTTCGTGCTCAGCTTTCTTCGCTTGCTGCAAAGGGTGTTTTGAAGGAAATATATTATACCTGATTCCTTCCCACTTTCCGGTCCTTCTTTAAAGCGTCCCGGTTACCCTCCTTCCCTCCCTCCTTCGTACTCAGCTTTTCTTCGCATGCTGCAAAGGGTGTTTCGTAACAAACACAGTCTTTTGCAAGGCGCAGGTCTTTTATTTGAGGCTAATAGGGAAGGAATCCCCATACAGAGAAGGCATATATATATATATATATATATATATATATATATACTACGTATTGATTCCCCCCCCCCCCCTTTATTGGCCGCCCTGCTTGAAGAAGTCGTTGTAAGCCATGCAAAGGGCCGAGAGGAAGGCCGTGAACTCCTTGAAGTCGACCTCCTCGTCCTTGTTCTGGTCCAGGCTGCGCATCAGGACGTCGATGCCGCTCTCCTTCATGCGCTGCAGAAAATGATCATTATTATTATTATTATTATTTTATCATTTTTACTATATATATATATATATATATATATTACATTCTATTTTTATATGATTTATTATTATTATTATATGTATTATATTCTATTATTATATTATTATTTAAAATCATTATTATATATATTATAATATTTTCTTATATTACTTATCATATATATATAATATTGTTATTATTTTAAATTTTTTATAATATATTATTACGCTGTTAAATTATTATGATTTATTTTATTATACATTGTTATATTATTACATTAAAATTATTATATATACTATATATTTTTATATTATTATTATGTAATATATATATTCTATTGTTATTTTAAAATTATTATTGTTATTACTACATATAATATATATTGTTTATATTATTATTTTAATATATAATTATATAATATGTATTATTATTTTATTATATAAAATGTATTTTATTATATTGTTATATTATTATTGTATTATTATTATTATAACATCATATAATATATATATTCTATTGTTATTTTAAAATTATTATTGTTATTATCGCATAATATTATTTTACTATTATATTATCATATATTATACATATTCTATTGTTATATTATTATTATTATTATAATGTTATTATTTTTATAATATATTATGATTATTATATTGTTATTATTGTATTTATATTGTATTATTATTATTATATCATCATATAATATATATATATATATATATATATATATATATATATATATATTCTATTGTTATATTATTATAACAATAGAATATATATATTCTCCCTTGTGAGGAGAAGGGTGGGATAGAAATATACAAAATAAATAAATAAATAAATATTATTATTATATGTATTATATTATATTATTATATTATCATTTAAAATATATATTTTATTATATTATTATATTAATATTATTATAATATTATGTTATATTTATATTAATATAATATATATTATATTATATTATTAATTATTATTATTATTATATATTATATTATATATATATATATATATTATATATATTATATTATATTATATTATATTATATTATTATATTATTATATTATTATATTATTATAATAATATAATATATATAATATAATATAATAATTTATTATATTATATATATTATATTATTATATTATTATTTTATTATATTATATTATATATTATTATATTATATTATATTATATTATTATAATATTATTATATTATATTATTGTATATTATATTATTATAATATATTATATTATATTATTATATATTATATTATATATATATATATATATATATTTTCTCCCTTGTGAGAAATATACAAAATAAATAAATAAATAAATATTATTATTATATGTATTACATTATATTATTATATTATTATTTAAATTATATATATATATAATATTATTATATAAGCTATGTTATTATGTTATAATTTATTATTTTATTATATAATTTATTATTATATTGCATACTATATTATTATGAATGTTTAAATTATGATATTTTATTATTATATTATTACATAATATACATTATAATATTATTTTGTTATATGATTTATTATTATATTCTATATATATATTCTTATGATTTTTAAATTGTTATGATATTACAATATATATTCTATTGTTATATTATTGTTTTTTAAATTATGGTTGTTTTAGTAAATATTACTAATTTATTATTATATTATACTGTAATATATATTGTATTGTTATATTATGATTTATCATTGTATTATTAAATTATCATATAATATACAGGGTTAGTCAAAATGAATAGGCCAATATTCATTATTCATTATTCATTATTGGCCTATTCATTTTGACTAACCCTGTATATTATATTGTTATTTTATTATTATTTTAAATTATGTTGTTGTTTGTTTGTTTGTTTGTTTGTTGTGGTTGTTGTTGTGTTGTCCCCCTGTAGGGGGTGTTGGGCGGTGCAGGGTCTGACCTCTCCCAGTTGCAGCTCCTTCTGGACCAGTTCCTTCAGCTCCTTCCTGCTGAGGGTCAAGGGGTTGCCTTCCTGGCCTGAATACCGGTGGAAAGTGAGGACCAGGCTGGCCAAGGCCTTCTCCAAGGGGCTCTCCATGGAGGGTCCTGCCAAAGAGAGGAGGAGACCTTGGGAGGACTGCAAATCCCAACGCAGTTCATGCTGGGCTCAGACCACATCCATTGCAGCTCTGCAAAGAGTTCCTTCTTTGGCACCCATCCTTGCAAAGGGCTCCCATTGCCCAAAGGAAAGCGGAAGCACCCAGACCCACCCAGAGCCAATATTTGCACCAATAATAATAATTATTATTATGCTAACGATGAGCTAATAAAGAGATGACAGGTGGGGTGTTTGCCCAAGGCAGAGGCAACGGCCAAGCGGACTTCTCGCTCCCAGAAAGAAGCATGCCTTCCCCATATATGCACTATAATATATTATATTTACTATAATGTAATAATATAATATTATTTTACATCAATATTATATTATAATATATAATAATAATAGAGCTTAAGAAGCATGCCCTCCCCATATATGCACTATAAAATATATTATATTTACTATAATATAATAATATAATATTATTTTACATCAATATTATATTATAATATAGAATAATAATAGAGCTTAAGAAGCATGCCCTCCCCATATATGCACTATTGCTATATATTTACTATAATATAATAATATAATATTATTTTACATCAATATTATATTATAATATGTAATAATAATAGAGCTTAAGAAGCATGCCCTCCCCATATATGCACTATTGCTATATATTTACTATAATATAATAATATAATATTATTTTACATCAATATTATATTATAATATAGAATAATAATAGAGCTTAAGAAGCATGCCCTCCCCATATATGCACTATTGCTATATATTTACTATAATATAATAATATAATATTATTTTACATCAATATTATATTATAATATGTAATAATAATAGAGCTTAAGAAGCATGCCCTCCCCATATATGCACTATTGCTATATATTTACTATAATATAATAATATAATATTATTTTACATCAATATTATATTATAATATAGAATAATAATAGAGCTTAAGAAGCATGCCCTCCCCATATATGCACTATTGCTATATATTTACTATAATATAATAATATAATATTATTTTACATCAATATTATATTATAATATGTAATAATAATAGAGCTTAAGAAGCATGTCCTCCCCATATTTGCACTATAATATATTATATTTACTATAATATAATAATATAATATTATTTTACATCAATATTATATTACAATATATAATAATAATAGAGCTTAAGAAGCATGTCCTCCCCATATTTGCACTATAATATATTATATTTACTATAATATAATAATATAATATTATTTTACATCAATATTATATTACAATATATAATAATAATAGAGCTTAAGAAGCATGCCCTCCCCATATATGCACTATTGCTATATATTTACTATAATATAATAATATAATATTATTTTACATCAATATTATATTATAATAATAATAATAGAGATTTTTTATTATTATATTATATTTTAATATTGATATGCATGCACTATTGGTATATATTTACTATAATACTATAATAATAGGATGTTATAATATTATTTTACATCAATATTATATTATAATATAGAATAATAATAGAGATGTATTATTATTATATTATATTTTAATATTGATATAAAACAATATTGTAATATAATAACATTATTATTATAGTATTATATTACCACCATCATTATAATAATTGTTATCATCACAATATTATAATATAATACTATAATAATAATGTTATATTATATTATTTTACATTGATATTATATTATATTTTATTTTATTATAATATAATAATAGGATAATGAGAATAATGAGGATGATGATGATAATGTTATATTACAATATTATTTTGCATTAATATTATATTATTATATTTTATTATAATATAGTAATAGTGATAATGATGATGATAATTAATAATAATGATAGATTATAATTATGTTATATTATAATATTATTTTACATTATTATATTACTATATATTATTATAATATAATAACCTTGATAATGAGAATGATGATAATTAATAATAATGATAGATGATAATAATGTTATATTATAATATTATTTTACATTAATATTATATTATTATATTTTATCATAATATAATAATCATGATAGATAATAATAATATTATATTATCTTATAATATTATTTTACATTAATATTCTATTATTAGAATATAATAATAATAATGATAGATAATAATTATATTATATTATATTATAATATTATTTTACATTAATATTCTATTATTATATTGTATTAGAATATAATAATTAATAATAATGATAGATAATAATAATATGAAATTATATTATAATATTATTTTACATTAATATTATATTATTATATTTTATTATAATATAGTAATAGTGATAATGATGATGGTGATGATGATAATGATGATGAGGATAATTAATGATAATGATAGATGATGATTATATTATTATTTTTGCGCAGGTTTCTGCATGCCTGATGGGAAAGGCATTCTCCCTCTTGGCTTGCAAAGCGTCCTCTTCCCTTTGGTGGGAAAGGGCTTGGCAGGCAAACATTGGCAAAGCATCCTTGCAAACATTGCCGCAAAAAGGGGAATTGTTTGCCATGTCTGCAATTATTTGCAATTAAGGCCTGGGAGCCGAGAAAGGAGGGAGGGGCCTTCCCTTGGTGGAAACACCTGCCTTCCCGCCGCTGGGCAAACCAAGGCTGACAGCCAATTTATACAATATATCACCCCTATCATATAATATCTATGTTAGGATATATAATATAATGCATTGAAAGGAAGCTTGGGAAGAAGGACCCTTGATTATTGGGGCGACCCAGGATTAGGAAGAGCGCGAATGGGAAGAGAATGGAAGAGAACGATTATTATTTAATATGATATCATTTAATTGGTTACAATCAATCAATTTTGAACGTGTCCACCTGAGGGTGGGTGACCAGGACAGAATAGGGATTCTGTTAGTGTACCGTCCACCCCGCTGCACTACAGTCTCCCTACCTGAGCTAGCCGGGGTGGTCTCGAGCCTGGCATTGGAGTCCCAACGGCTTCTTGTGCTGGGGAACGATTATTATTTAATATGATATCATTTAATTGGTTACATCCTAAGCATTGGACTTGCTGCTGCTGGCACCAGGAAGAAAGGAAGGAAGGAAGGGATAAAGAAAAGAACGAGAGAAAGAACCAACCAAGATCCGGAGGGCGGGGAGGCGGATTGCAGTGGTCTATAGGGATTGCATCTCCCTGACCAGGAGCCCCATCCCGCAGTCAATCAATTTTGAATGTGTCCACCTGAGGGTGGGTGACCGGGACAGAATAGGGATTCTGTTAGTGTACCATCCACCCCGCTGCACTACAGTCTCCCTACCTGAGCTAGCAGGGGTGGTCTCGAGCCTGGCGTTGGAGTCCCAACGGCTTCTTGTGCTGGGGGACTTCAATGTCCATGCTGAAGCTACCCTATCAGGAGTGGCTCAGGACTTCAGGTCAGCCATGGCAACCATGAGGTTGTCCCAACGGGTATCTGGCCCCACTCACAGTGCAGGACACACATTGGATTTGGTTTTCTGCCAGGGATGGGAGGAAGGTGGTGGTGTTGAGGAGTCAACCATCTCTCCGTTGCCATGGACTGACCACTACGTGGTCAGATTTAGACTTACGGCAACCCCTAACCTTCGCAGGGGTGGAGGACCCATTAAGTTGGTCCGCCCCAGGAGACTTATGAATCCGGATGGATTCCTGATGGCTCTTGGGATGTTTCCCGCCACCTCGGTAAGTTTTTTTTTTTGGTTGTGTCAGGAATGACTCCTGGTGTGAGAGAATTGGCCGTCTGCAAGGACGTTGCCCAGGGGATGCCTGGATGATTTGATGCTTTTATCATCCTTGTGGGAGGCTTCTCTCATGTCCCCGCATGAGGAGCTGGAGCTGATAGAGGGAGCTCATCCACCTCCACCGGATTCGAACCTGCGACCTGTCGGTTTTCAGTCTTGCCGGCACAGGGGTTTAACCCACTGCGCCACAGTGATCCTGTTGATGCTCTGGTTACTCTCTGGAATGGGGAGATGACTAGGGCAATAGACACGATTGCTCCAGAGCGTCCCCTCTCAAGTAGTCGAGCTAAACCAGCATCTTGGTTCAACGAGGAGCTGGCAGCGATGAAGCGAAGGAAGAGGGAACTAGAGAGCGTGTGGCGTTCGGATCTGAGCGAGCCAAATCGAACATGGTTTGTGGCCTTTTTAAGGACATATGCCGCGGCCTATAGGGATTCCATCTCCCTGACCAGGAGCCCCATCCCGCAATCAACCAATTTTGAACGTGTCCACCTGAGGGTAGGTGACCGGGACAGAATAGAGATTCTGTTAGTGTACCGTCCACCCCGCTGCACTACAGTCTCCCTACCTGAGCTAGCGGGGGTGGTCTCGAGCCAATATTGCGTCTGCAAAGAACCGTCTGGCTGAGCTGTTTCGAGTTGTCAGAGGCCTTTTAAATCCCACCACCCAGGATGGGAGCCCTGACAACTTAGCAGCCCACTGTGAAGCATGTGCTCGGTTCTTCATGGACAAAGTCGCTTTGATCCGTTCTGGCCTGGACACCATGTTAACGGCAGTCTCTGAGGATGTAACACAAGCACCTGCTTGACCGGTTTTGATGGATTCATTTCAATTGGTGAAACCCGAGGATGTGGACAAGATATATGGAGGAATGAGGCCTACCACGTGCATCCTGGACCTCTGCCCATCCTGGCTTTTGAAGGAGGCCAGAGCGGGATTGGAGGTAGAAAAGGAATGAAAGAAGGTAGGAGGGATGGAGGAGGTAGGGAAGGAAGGAAGGAAGGAAGAGAAAGAAAGAGAAGGAATGAGGGAAAGAAGAGAGAAGGAGGAGGAGGAGGAGGAAAGAAAGGAAGGAAGGAAAGAAAGAAAGAAGGAAGTAAAAGGAGGGGAAGGAACAAAAAAAGAGGGAGGGAAGGAGGGATGGAGAAAAGGAAAGAAAGAGAAGGAAGGAAGGAAGAAGAGGAGGAAAGGAAAGAAAGAAGATAGGAGGGATGGAGGAGGTAGGGAAGGAAGGAAGGAAGAGAAAGAAAGAAAGAGAAAGAAAGAAAGAGAAGGAATGAGGGAAAGAACGAGAGAAGGAGGGATGGAGGAGGTAGGAAAGAAAGAAGGAGGGAAAGAAGAAAGGGAAGTAAAAGGAAGGGAAGGAACAAAAAAAGAGGGAGGGAAGGAGGGATGGAGAAAAGGAAAGAAAGAGAAGGAAGGAAGGAAGGAAGAAGAGGAGGAAAGGGAAGAAAGGAAAAAGATGGAAGGATGAGTGGAGGAGGTGGGGAAGGAAGGAAGGAATAGGAAAGGGGAGGGGAAGGAGGAAAGGGAAAGGAGATGAAAGGAGGGATGAAAAAGGTGGGGAAGAAGCAAACCAAACAAGCCGGGTTCGTTGTCAAGGGCGAGGAGGCCATGACTCAATTGGCAAATAGGGGTTTGCAAAGGGTTGGGTGGCATTCACAGAGCTATTTCCTTGGGAATTGTAGTTTCCCCAAAGCCGGTTAGCTTCTGCTGTAGGAATGTGTACAGTTTGGGCACCTCTTTCCTTGCCGATTCAATGCGAGGGGGTCCTGGGAGTTGTAGTTTCCCCAAGATCTCTGCTTATTCAATGCAATTGGAGTTCTGGAAATTGTAGTTTTCCCAAGGTCGGTTAAGCCGCCTTCCCTTGTAGGAATGTGTGCAGTCTGAGCCCCCCTTACCTTGCTAATTCAATGCGAGGGGGTCCTGGGAGTTGTAGTTTCCCTAAGATCTCTGCTAATTCAATGCAATGGGGTTCTGAAAGTTGTAGTTTCCCCAAGATCTCTGCTAATTCAATGCAATGGGGTCCTGGGAGTTGTAGTTTCACCAAGATCTCTGCTAATTCAATGTAATGGGGCTCTGGAAGTTGTAGTTTTCCCAAGGTCGGTTAAACCTCCTTCACTTGTAGGAATGTGTGCAGTCTGTGCACCCCTTACCCTGCTAATTCAATGCAATGGGGTCTTGGGAGTTTTAGTTTCCCCAAGATCTCTGCTAATTCAATGCAATGGGGTTCTGGGAGTTCTAGTTTCCGCAAGATCTCTGCTAATTCAATGCAATGGGGTTCTGGAAGTTGTAGTTTTCCCAAGGTCGGTTAAGCCTTCTTCACTTGTAGGAATGTGTGCAGTTTGAGCACCCCTTACCCTGCTAATTCAATGCAAGGGGGTCCTGGGAGTTGTAGTCTCCCCAAGATCTCTGCTAATTCAATGCAATGGGGTACTGGGAGTTGTAGTTTCCCCAAGATCTCTTCTAATTCAATGCAATGGGGCTCTGAAAGTTGTAGTTTTCCCAAGGTCGGTTAAGCCTCCTTCACTTGTAGGAACGTGTGCAGTTTGAGCACCCCTTACTTTGCTAATTCGATGGATTGGGTTCTTGGGAGTTATAGTTTCATCAAGATCATTGCTAATTCAATGCAGTGGGGTCCTGGGAGTTTTCGTTTCCACAAGGCCACTTCAGCATCCTCTGTTTGTAGGAATGCATGCAATTCTGGCACTTCTTTCCCTGCTAATTCAATGCGAGGGGGTCCTGGGAATTGTAGTTTCACCAAGATCTCTGCTAATTCAATGCAATGAGGTCCTGGGAGTTTTAGTTTCTGCAAGGTCACTTCAGCATCCTCCGTTTGTAGGGATGCATGCAATTCTGGCACTTTTTTTCCCTGCCAATGCAATGCGAGGGGGTCCTGGGAGTTGTAGTTTCCCTTCTTCAGGCAAAAAAAAAAAGGACCTTTGCGGGACTACAAATCCCATGGACCCCATGAGAGCGATGCTGACCAAAGCGGCCCAAATGCATTCGTTCTCCAGGGGAGAAGCCCTTATGAAAACTACAACTCCCATCATAGGGAGGCTTTCAAAACATGCACCAAAAAAACCCCCCTATGCACAGTGCAGGCCCAGGCAAGAAGAGGAATGCATTTGGCAAGGCACGAACCCATTGTTTGTTTGTTTGTTTGTTTGTTTGTTTTGAAATATATAAATATCTATCTATCTAAAGAGGGTCAATATGAGAGGAAAACTACTCACCGGATGATCTGGGGGATGCAAATGGAAAGGGCAAAGCAGGAAAGCAAAAGCTCAATGTTGTTTTGCATTCTGTTTTGCATTATCTCCCAAAGAGAAAACCCCAAAGGATTGATGGATTGATGACGCCTCCAAGGGCCAAAGGGAGATCGTTAGGCGCTCCTAATTGGTTATTTCCTAATTGGTTCCATCATTAAAAAAAAGTTTATTAAACTTTCAAAAGTTTGTCTTTCCAGGAGGGACATCCTGCAGCATCTTATGATATGATATGATATGATATGATATGATAATAATATTATAATATATTATAACTATATTTATTAGTAAATTATTATATTTATTTTTATGTTATATTATTATATATTATATTGTAAGAATAAATAATCATAATTGTATATCATGTATTATTAATATTTTATTATTATATTATATTTATTATAATTATATTGTAATATATTGTGACTATATTTATTATTCAATTATTATATTCATTATTATATTTATTATTATATGTTATATAAATAATCATAATTGTATATCATGTATTATTAATATTTTATTATTATATATTATATTATATTATTATATAATAATATATAGCATATTATTATATTATATTTTTATTATAATTATATTAATATATTATATATTATATTATATTATATTATTATTTATGTTATATTATTATATATTATATTATAAATAATATAATTCTATATCATTATTATTAATATTATATATTATATATTATATTATATTATATTATATATATATATTATATATATATTATATATATATTATATATTATTAGTATTATTATTTATTATTATATGTTATATTATTTATATATAATATTAAGAATAAATAATCATATTGTATATCATGTATTATTAATATTTATTATATATTATATTTATTATAATTATATTGTAATATATTACTATTATTATTTATTATATTATTATTATATTTATAAATTATAATAATTTATATATTATTATAATATTATTATTATATATTATAGATATTATTATAATATTATAGCATATTATTATATTATATTTTATTTATAATTATATTGTAATATATTGTACTATATTTATTATTAATTATTATTATTTATTATTTATATTATATATTATATATTATATTTAAGAATAAATAATCATAATTGTATATCATGTATTATTAATATTTTTATTATATATTAATATTATATAGTATTATATATAATTTATTATAATTATTATTATAATAGTTTTAACCTATATTTATTAATTATTTATTTATTATTATGTTAATATTATATATAATATTAGTAATAATCATATTTTATATTATATTAATATTTATTATTATATTATATTATATAGCATATTATATTATATTTATTATATTATATTTATATATTTGCTACTATATTTATTATTATTTTATTATTATATATTATATTGTATATATATTTATATTTAATTTATTATATTTATTATTATATATTATATTTATTATATTATATATAATATATTTATTATTATATATTTATTATTATTATTTTATTATATTATATTATTATATTGTATATTATTATTCTTATTTATTTATTATTATGTTTATTATTATATTTATATAATATATTATAATTATATATTATTATTAATATTTTATATTATATATATTATATTTATATATTATATTATTAATAATTATAGCATATTATTATATTATATTATATTATTAATTATATTAATATTATTTAATATATTTTATTATAAATATTATATTATATTATTTTATTATTATATATAATAATTAAAATATTGATAATTTATAATATTAATAATATTTTTATTATTATATTATATTTATTATATTTATTATTATATATAATATATTATATATATTATTATATAATTAATATAATTATATTATATTTATATTTTTATTATTAAAATTATATATATTATATATTATTATATATTAATTGTATTTATAAATAATAAAATATAGAATATTAATAATATTTTTATTATTATATTAATTATATTATATTATATTATATATAATATATAATATTATTATAATTAATATATTATATATATGTAATATATTTATTATTAATTATTATTATTATTATGTTATATTATTATATGTTATATAAATATTATAATTTATATATGTATTATTATATTTTTATTATATTATTTTATTATATATTATATTTTATATTATTATTATATTATATTATATTATTAGTATATTATATTATTATATTATCTTAATTATTATTATATTATTAATATTGTGTGTATATATATTATATATATTAATATATATTTAATATATTATAAATAAATATTAATTATAATATATAATAATATATTATATATTTTACAATATAATATATAATAATATATTATATATTTTATATCTGTGTGTATAGAAAATATATATATGTATATGTATAATACATAATATAATATATAGTAATATATAACATAGGTGTATAAAATCAGTGCATATAAATAAAATAGGTGTTTATGAAATATAATATATATTATATCTGTGTGTATAGAAATATGTATATGTATAATATATAATATATAGTAATATATAATATAATAGGTGTATGAAATGTAATATATATTATAATATATCAGTGTACATGATATATATGTGTGTGTGTGATACATATTGTCATGTATTTGTGTATATATCTAAGTATAATATAGACTATATGTCTGTGTGTATATACAATACATAAGTCTAATACATCTCTCTATTTCCTTTTCCTTCCCACGGCGCCTCCTGCGCTTGTGCCCGAAGCCATGGGTGCGGATCCATCCAGACTGTTATCCAAAAGGCATCTAAACCGGTTTGGGAGCGCCTTCCGGACGGGCCGGTTGGGCCTCTCTGCCTTTGCAGACGGTGCGCAGAAGCCCATTATCCCGGAGGGCGAATATTCCGGAATTCCCGCTCAGCGGAACCATTCTCTCTCTTGGCCGGACAGAAAATGCCGCTCCGGCGGTTTCATTCACGGCTTTCGGCCCAGAAGAGATTTGGACACATGGGCGCATGGATGGCCTGGTCACATCGACTGCTCTCTCTCTAGTTCTCTAAGTCAACGCATGTGGTGGGACTATCGTGCCCATATGCCATCAACAGAACTATATCGCCCATGTGTCTGGTGGGACTCTTATGACCATGTATGTAGTGGGACTACAAAGCCCATGTGTCTGGTGGGGCTATCACACCCACATGCCATCAACTGAACTACAACACCCATGTGTCTGATGGGACTATTATAACTATGTAAGTGGCAGGACTACAAAGCCCATGTGTCTGGCAGGACTACCACACCCATATGCTCAACACCTATCCGTTTGGTGGGACTATTATCACAATGTATGTGGCAGGACTACAAAGCCCATGTGTCTGGTGGGACTATCACACCCACATGCCATCAACAGAGCTACAAAAACTATGTCTCTGATGGGACTATTATGACCACGTATGTGACAGCACAACAAAGCCAATGTGTCTGGTGGGACTATCATGCCCACATGCCATCAACAAAATTATAACATCCATGTGTCTGATGGGACTGTTATGACCATGTATGGCACGAATACAAAGACCATGTGCCTGGTGGGACTATAAAGCCCATATATGTGGCAATACTACAATATCCATGTGTCTGGTGGAACTATCATACCCATATGTCATCAACAGAACTACAAAACCCATGTGTCCAATAGGACAATTATGACCATGTATGTGGCAGGACTATGAAGCCCATGTGTCTGGTGGGACTACCACACCCATATGCCATCAACAGAACTATAACACCCATGTGTCCGATGGGACTATTATGACCATGTATGTGGCAGGACTATGAAGCCAATGTATCTGGTGGGACTATAAAGTCCACGAGTGTGGTGGGACTACAGACCGCATGTGTCTGGTGGGATTACCACACCCATATGCCATCAACAGTGCTATAACACCCATGTGTCTGATGGGACTATTATGATCATGTACGAGGTGGGACTACAAAGCCCATGTGTCTGGTGGGACTACCACACCCATATGCCATCAACAGAGCTACAAAACCCATGTGTCTGATGGGACTATTATGACCATGTATGTTGTTGGACTACAAAGCCCATGTGTCTGGTGGGAATATCACACCCATATGCCATCAACAGAACCACAACACCGATGTGTCTGATGGGACTCTGATTACCATGTACATGCCAAGACTACAAAGCCCATGTGTCTGGTGGAACTACAAAGCCCACAAATATGGCAGGACTACAAAGCCCATGTGCCTGGTGGGACTATTATGCCCATATGCCATCAACAGAACTACAATGCCCATTTGTCCGATAGGACTATAAAGTCATGGGACCGTCATGCACATGTGCCTGGTGGGACTATAATGCCCATGTGCCTGATGCCAAAGGGCAGCTGGCGCACTCCTAGGCATCGCTTTTGTTTTGGGGCCAAAGGGCTCCACCTGCTGGCCAGACCCAGAGGCAGAATCCGAATTGCAGAGTTAACCCAGTTTGGTCCCCTGCTGTGTCTGGTGGACTCTCATGCCCATGTGCCTGATGGGATTGCAATGCTTGAGAGTTTGATGGGACTATGTGGCTCAATCGGCAACAGAACTATCATTCCCATATGCCTGGTGGACTATCACGCCCATGTGCCTAACAGGACTATAACACACATGTGTCATTCCCATGGACTTGATTATAATGTCCCTGTGGCTGGAGAAACCACAATGCCCATGTGTCAGCAACCAAACTGCAATGCCCATGTGTCTTTAACTTTAACTGCGACATCCTGGGATTTATAGTTCCGGCTTGTTTTGGGGGGATTTGGAGCTGTTTGTTTGTCTCTGCCTTTGCTTTGGGAAATGTGGCTTTGGAAGCATGCGGCCAACGCCCCGCTCGCTTGCGCACTTGGTCAGGAGGAAAGCGGGAAACTCTGACTCATGGATCCGCCTCCAAAGAAAGGAATGGGGAGAGTGCTCTGGACATCTGGCTT